AGGGCATGTCTGATTCCTCTTTGGGCCAGGAACAATTCAAAAGTGGATGAGGCGAATTGGGGCCCGTTATCTGAAACCAGAGTGTCAGGGTACCCATGGGAAGTGAAAATTTTGTCTAAAGCTCTGCTTACAGAATCTGAAGTGGTTGATTGGAAGAGGACCAGCTCTACCCACTTTGAAAATAAATCTACCACAATTAAGAAGTTTTTCCCTTGCATGGGGCCTGCCAGGTTCACATGTATTCTAGATCATGGTATTTTGGTATCTTCCCACTCCCCAGAAGAGGCAGCTGGTGGGGCAGGCCCTGGGCCACCCCCTTCGCACCCAGTCCATGACTTTAGACAGTTGTATGTCTCTGGTGGTGGCATAGGTGATGTCATTGGCTGTAAGAGGCAAATGCAGATCTTCCAGCAAGAACACAGAGGCTGAAGGGACAGGATCAGTGACCAGAAGGGGTAAAGGGCACCTGCTTAGGGCATCAGCATGAGCCACATCTTTGCCAGGCCTGTAAGTCAACTTATAGCTGAGAGTGGCTAGGAAGATTGTCCATCAGGTCATTCTTGGGGAGAGGATTTGTGGGCTGGGCTTGTCCCCTGCCAGGATGCCTAACAAAGGTTGGTGGTCCATGATGAGCTCAAACTGTTGTCCATAGAGGTATTCATGGAAACTTTTGACTGAGGCCACCGCAGCCAATGCCTCTTTATCTATTTGGCTGTAGTTGCGCTCAGACTTGGAGAGTGTTCTAGAGAAATAAGCTATAGGGGCTTCCTGGCTATTTGGCAATTTATGACCTAGGACTGCCTCAATCCCATAAGGGGATGCATCGCAAACTAAAATAAGGGGAAGAGCATTGCTAAACTGAATGAATACTTTGGTTGAAGTGAGGAGGGATTTTACTGCAGAGAAGAAGCCCTGTTCCTTGGATCCCCAATGCCACTGCGTCTTAGAGTCTAATAGTCTATGCAATGGTTCTGCTACAGTGGCGTTGTGGGGCAGGAAAGAGCTGTAAAAGTTAAGTAGTCCTAAAAAGGCTTGTAACTCAGTCTTGTTCTGAGGGACCGGGGCCTCCTGGATGGCCCGTACTTTGGATTCTACAGGGTGAATTCCCGTGTGGTCAATATGATATCCAAGGAAATCTATCTGTGAAACTGCAAGGATACATTTTTTTCCTGTTTAATTTTAGCCCAGCCTGTTTAAAACACTGGAGAACTTTTTGTAATCTTTCCAAATGTTCCTGTGGGTTGTCAGTAGCAATGAGGATGTCATCGAAGTATGGGATGACACCCTTGATATTGTATAACAAATGTTCCATAATGGATTGGAATATGCCAGGGGCAACGCTGACACCGAATTATAAGCACTTACATTTGAAAGCTCCCCTACGCGTAATGATTGTTTGGGCCTCTGCTATCTCATTGTCCACTGGGAATTGCTGGTATGCTTGAGTCATATCCAGCTTGGTAAAAATGGAGCTTTTTCCCAGGGAATGGAGCAGGTGCTGTATGATAGGCACAGGATAAGCGTTTGGTTGGAGACCCTTGTTTATCATGAACTTGAAGTCAGAACAAATTCTTATGGAGCCATCTCTTTTCAAAGGTATTACAATGGGAGTTTCCCATTTAGCAAAGTCAATTGGCTCTAAAACCCCTTGCGAAATCAATTTGTCAAGCTGGGCATCCACTTTAGCATGTAATGCCAATGGCACTCTACGTGGTTTGAGGTGTATAGGAGCAACATTAGGATCCAGGTTAAGGGAAATAGGAGTGCCATTGTAGCAGCCCAGTTTGTCATTGAAAACTTCTGAATAGTCAGCAAGATGTTGCTGCAAGTTGTGGGGGGTATCTGCATTTATTCCAGTTACTTGGAGGCCTAGGGAATGGAACCAGTCCAATCCCAGTAAGCCAGGTAAGTTCCCACTTATGATAACTAGTGGAAGGTGACCCTGAAAATTGTTGTATTGAATATGGAACTTGCCTGTTCCGAGGACTGGAATGGATTGTCCTTGGTAGTCTCTCAGGGTCAGATTGCAGGGGCTCAGCTGATTCTTGTGGAAGTCTGGTAGCAGATTCTGTAGTGTCTTCCAAGAGATGAGTGACAGAGATGATCCAGTGTCCACCTCCATCTGGCAGGGGCTGCCTTCTAAGAGAAGATCAACATTAATTTTATTAACATTGAAAGAATAAGTCAGTGACTCAGCTCTTTGGAATGCTTTGTTGATGGCATAGCATTCCTCTTTGGATTTGAGGTTTTTTGGTTGATTGAGATGTTGAGATGGCAGGATTGTGTTTCTAGGTGCCTGGCAGATTCTAGCTATGTGGCCTTTCTTCTGGCACTTTAGGCAGACAGCATTTCGAAAACAGAAAGTGGCTCTCAGATGGTTTCCTTCACAGCTGAGGCAAATCAGCTGTGGTGTAAGTTGTCGGCAGGAAAAAAAATTTCTCTGTGTCAGCTGGGGTGCTTGAAGGCGATTGATTGCTTCTTCCTCTTCATCTTCGCAGTAGGTGTCTTTGTAGTGGACTGCAGGTTGGATTGTACCCCGGGAAGACTGCTTGGTTTTTTGTATTTCGGCTGCGGATAAGTTGGATAGTTCAGTGGCTTGAGCTTCTTCGATGGCTTTCTTCAAGTTGAGATTGCCTTTAGCCAGAAGCCGTCATTGTAGTCGAAGGTCTCTCACCCCTCAGATGAGCTGGTCCAACAGCATATCATCTATATGATCTCAGAAACCACATTGCAGGGCAGCTGAATGAAGAACTGCCATGTATTCACTTATGGACTCGCCCTCTGCTTGGCTTCGTCTTCTGAATGCATGGTGGCTGTTGAGGTAATTCCCTGTGAGCGCATACAGGGAGACGTATTGAGAGTAGTGTTTGAATAATACACACTGCACACAGATACACTGTACAATAAATGTAGGTTTTTACTTCCAGAAACATTTAAGCAAAGTTCAAACAAGCAGTCCAAAGGCATTCACAGGTAAGATCAGTCAGTTTTCAGTCCAGGGATAATCCAATAACAAAGTCCAGTGTCAAAAACAGTTCAGTATCAGACTTACATCAAATCCAAGAATAACAGCCAATACAGGAACAGCAAAACACTCCAACAGAAGGAAACAGAGAGATTCACTGAGACACACTCTCTTCTGAGACTAAGACTAAGACTAAACAACCCAGGTTTCTGGCTCCATGTTATGGCCGTTTGAGAAACCACACCCAATTACACTTTTGCATTTTCTTAAAGATACAGTTTTAAAATGTTTATCCTGGTTTATATATTTCCAACCCAAATACCTGTTGGGTGACTTATATTCCTAACAGCGGCGGGCGATATGCGATGACTTCAGGGCATAGTGATTATCGAGCACCTCTTGAAGTTCTTCCCAGGGAACAGCCTTGACTGTCTGAGGAGCCAGCAGCGCGGTGGCGGTGTCGAAAATGGTGGCCCCGCAGAAACTCAAGAAATAGGCTTTCTTCCTGTTAGGACGGATGTCAGATAGGTTTGCAGCATCCATGACACATTCGAACCTATTGATATACAATGTCCACATCTCGGAGGTTGGCTGAAAAGGTGGAAAATTTGGCAGCACTGCCATATCTTCGCTCGACAGTGACTGCTCTAGTGACAGCTCTTAGTGACAGCTCTTTTTGTAGTGACTTCAGCCATGTGGTGCTCTCTCTCTTTGCCTCAGGAATTGCCTCAGTTCGTCAGCATCCCATCCTCATTACCACTTTTGGGTTTGGCACGCTTAGAAAAAGAGGCGGAGGCAATATAAAGCTTAACAGGCTTTATTGCTAACTTGTAAGCCAGTTGCGGCAGCAGCTGAGAGAGAGAGAGAGAGACAGCTGATTCGTTTGACAGCTCCTTTTATATGGAGCTGTCAAATGGTCCAGCCAATCAGGGGCTTCTCCAGATCCCACTTAAACAGCAGACCAGAGTGAAGACTTGCTGGTTGCAACAATAGTATTCAGGTTTTTTATTCAATGTGTAATAACAAACCAGTGTTGTTTACAGAGTCAGCTGTCATTTCAAAATAGAGGCCACATATATTCATAATCTCTGAGTAAAAAACAAAGTAATAAAGGCAAAAACCTCAGATGTTATTTCTTTTAAGATTATTTTTAACTTCAGGCAAGCATTCTTCTTCATTTGTAAGCAATTTTTGGCACCTTAATTTGTTTTCAGTAATAATCCTATGAGTTGAGTATAACAACTGAAGATCACATGATAAAATCTTGGCTGAGTAAACAACTGTCTCAACATAAACTATATATAAACAGATTCACAAATTAGCAGGATCCTGTGTCTTGTGTTTTGCCCAGTTTTCTGCTTCCTGTATACAGAAAGAATTCTTCCTAATAATCCCACAGACATTTCTTGTGATGCAAGAGGCAGTTGTAATTCAGCTCTTGTTGTGTATTTCATTGTAAGTCCAGTCTACAGTGAAGATTCCTGTTACTTCCATAGATGGCAGGTTCAAGGAAACAAATCAAGGTTCCTCCCCCCAATTTTCTCTTTAATATATGCTATCAAACATCTGTAATTAATAGGGGAGGAACTGAAACATTTACTATAAGATTGCAGCGGTATTTGATTATCTGGGAATAAACTTTATATTGGCCACCAGATTTTTTTTTCCAAGCAAGCATGAGTTTGCCCCACAAAGCTAAGTGGGGGTACCTTATTTATTTACTGGATATTAATTTCCTTGTTTGATGTTTACCTGAGCAGCTGACATTCCACTAAAATAAATTTGTTTATATTGAAACTCTGCTAGATGGTCTTGAATTGTGGTCTGTATACAATATTTACACTAGGGAAGGGGATGTTTCCCCAGGGAAGGTACTTGTTACTGTGTTGTGATGCTACAAGTGGCCAAAAAATCACTTAATTTTTCTGTTACTGAACCACAAAGTTTTGCCTGACACACTTGGACTGTTCTTTGTGCTAAATTGTGATGATGCTTCTACTAATGCCAATTGTTTGGTTTGTTTCTTTGATTTTAGGGACCACAAGGGCCCCAGGGACCTGTTGGATTTCCAGGACCTAAGGGACCTCCTGTAAGTATTTGTCTTAAAATAAACACAGGATGGAAAACATTGAAATAGATAGTGATTATTGAGCATTTTTATCAACCTATTACATGTATTGTAAGAATATTCTAATCTACTGAGAAAGTAACAGAAACAGAATTAGAGAATTAGTCCTTCCAATTCTCTTAATGGACTTGCCTGTTTTCATCTGTACTCCCTTCTGATTGGGATAAAATAACTGTTGTCATAGTGTGTGTGTGTATGTGTTTATTTTTCTTCAAGTGACAGAGATCTGTTTCAGAAGAAAAACTACCTTAATACCTACTCAAGCACTTTAGATATATTCAAACTCTCCTAATGATATTTCTTCAGAGGCATCATTTGTGAAAACCCCATGTGGAGACTATCATACCCTGCTGTTACTCTACAACACTTTATTAGTCTAAGTAGGATTCTGTATGATGCACCAGATTTTCTAAATATTGATTCTGCATGAGACTTCTGCATTGTGCGAACTCATCCAAGCCCTTTAATCCAGCTTCATTTTGTCTGACTTAAGTATTGAAGATTACTAAATACAAGCATTCCCTCTGAAAGCAGAGCTGCTTGATATTTATGATGGTTTATGATGTATCCAGTCCTTCCTTCTGTCCCAGATTCAATTCAGAAAAGCTGGATGAGTAGCTAAACATGAGCTGATTTTTCTAATATCAGCAAAAGTAGCACAAACTGTAGAGGTACAAGTCCGAGGCCAATGTATGCTCTCAAATGGAGACCTGAATTTAAACATCACAAAATCATCTCAGAACAGTTTTCTGTGTAGCAAAGTACCTAAAGCAGGGCTGGTTCTGTAGAACAACGTGCTTACAAATTGTGCTCGCTGTAAACTAATAACAAAATAGAAAATGCCTGAAAATGAAGCCACAAAAGCTATGCAGATAAACATTAAAAGTAGGCAGCCTGCAATTATTTTATTATCTTCTCAGAGAACATGTGTCTTTGAATAGATTAAAAAAAACAATGGATAAATGACTTAATGAATGTTATGTTAAAATGTATGTTGTTATCTTGAGGTAGTTTTAGTTCTGTGGCTGAACTCCTTTGCTGTGTTTTTTTTTTAATGTCACAAACCTTTTCAATGCCACTGCAGGTCTTTAAAAATGCTGTGTTTTTGTGTAAAGCCTTTATGAAAGACAATTTGAAAAACTTGATTATTGGGAATTATCTATTAGGCCTTTGCAAATCCTTCAGACTTGGGTGCTTTGGGACTTGCCACACATACATACAAATCACTGCTTTTTGAATTTCTATAGCAGCTGTGCCTTTTTCCAGATTCTTGCTGTTTCTTAAAAGGCTGCTTCTAAATATGTGCATGCTCAGATAACTTCCCATTATACACCAATGTGTAGTCCGTAGCTTTCTCCGCAGAGGAATCCAAACACCACTAGAGGTCACTCTCCATCTCTTTTACATTAATCCCAACCCCCAAATGATGAAAAGGATGGGAAACTATGTGATCTGTTTTTGGCATGCTATCATCAAAAATGAGTGCACCACTCATACTAGCTGCATTATTGACTTTAAAATTTAAAATTTTCATAAGTGGAACCAAAGCATTAACTGAACTAATGCACAAGCTTGCAGAACGCTTAGGCTTCCATTTAGCTTGGTGGAATTGATCAGTGCCGTCCGAATCAGTGAGAAGCATTGCTGGCTTTTCTGTAATGCACCTCCTAGGGAAGAAGAAGCCATTGCAGAGTTCTAGTTGTAGATCAGGTTTGCACTGGGATAAACCAACAGCCAGGCTGAAATTGTATTGAAATGTTCTAGCATCTCCAAACAACAAATCAATTCATAGTATATTGTGCCAAAAATTGCCAAGCTTTTTTGCATTTGACATTTAAAATCAAACAGGTGCTCCCTCCACTCACCAGAAATGAAAGTACAACATTACATGACCCAACGTTTTGCAGTCTATTCATGACACCCTACATCAGTTATCTGACATGGTTACTACATTTTGCTAAATGATAGTTAGGCTCTGCTTCCCTTTTTTTAATTGAGAGAATAATTAACAGAATTTCCCAGTTTCACTTTAGGGATCTGTGGAGCTATCATTTCATTACAGAATGAAAGTTACAATTTCAAGCACACAGTTGCTTCCCCAGAGGGAGAATAACAATTTGGAAGAAAGTTTTGGCAAGATGGCTGGCATGAAAAGTGTTTAACACAAATTTCTTGCCAATTCTTCGAGTCGTATCTCTAAAAGTAACTTTTCCTTGCGTCTATAAATGTACACATCTTTATTTTCACATTATGTGAAAATTACATGTACTCATGTGCAAGGAAGGAAAAACAGATTACATCACGCTTAGAGATAAGTGAAAACAAATGATGTTGGTGTTGTTAAGACTCTTCATTGCCTTTGGAAAGATTGCTATGAAATTTGTAGTCATAAATTCATAATGAAGAAAGAAAATAAAGGGGAAAATTCACAGAAAATAATAGAGCATTGTAAAGTTCTGTCCCTTTATCCTAATAAAAAATCAAAGGATAGTAGAGTTTAATCTCCTTTGTATAGGAATGAAGTAAGAAAGATTTATGGTAACCCTATAACTTTAGTGTTATGTGTAAAAATAAATGCACAGTATATTGGAATACAACATAACTGTCTACAGCTGGCAGCCAAAATACTGGCATTAGATGCCCCAAGAAAGTGATTCCTGGAATTTGAGAAGGCCCTTGCTGATTGTAGATCAGCTCAATTCCCCAAACCTTCCAGCATTTTGATCTCTCCCAGTTCAAGCTGCAAGAAAACTTATTTTTCTCTAACTTACTCTTCAAAGATACAGGAGTGTGATTTCCAGTTCTTACTTCTCATTATCAGAAAATCAACCAAGGTCATGCCCAGATCAACAAAGCACAGCCACTGTCTCAGTAAGAGGACAGTAAGTTTGAAGAACCAGTTTGAAACACAGATGTGTCACTAAGGTGACTAACTAAAACTGATCTTTTTTTTTTTTTGAAGTGACATTTCATTTATTTTGTTTTCCACTGCAGGGACCACCTGGGAAAGATGGCTTGCCTGGGCATCCAGGACAACGTGGTGAAACTGTAAGCATATTATTTATACAGCATAATGTAGCCCTTTCCACACTCCATTTACTGTAACGTGTGTCTGTTAAATGGAGGAAGAATCCAAATGTGTTCATTATTTTTGGTCTGAGAATTAAAGTTATACAAAAGTATTGTTGTGAATTCAAAACACATTTAATGGTATTTTGAAAACCAATTAAAAAGTGCTTTCAGTTTAAGTGATCCTGATGTACTACCAAAATGTATTTTTGATGCTAATTATGCTGTATGTTGCAAATGTTGTTTTAATTAATCTTGATTTTATTACGATTATCCCTGCTGAAGTCAATGGAAAATTACAGGTGCATATTTATATTTGTATATGAATATGTGTATATTCCTAAATGAATGAATGAATGCATAATATACCAAGTGAGTATAATCCGCATGTTAAAAACCAAATGTATAAAAGGCATTTTAAAACTTAAAAATCAACCTCCTTTAAAAGTACAAAACAATTACCATCATGCACAGAAATGCTGTTTCGGGAAACTAAGTTCTGTAGCTCAAAAATACCGTGTGCTCCCTAGTCTTATATTAATTGCTTTCCATATGCTACTTAAACTCTCATGTCTGTTTGTGACCTTCGGTTCAGTGAAACAGTGGATTATAGGCAACAATTTTAGAAACAATGTACGTTAAATGGGCTAATTTATAGAATGCATCCAAAATCTGGGACCCATGATTTCCATGGGACTAAAATTTGGGGAAGTTGTGGCATTCAGCTGTGGTCATCAAATCATCATCTCCAATGCTCCCTGCCAGCTTCCCATAAGGAAAGTCAGTGGGGAAGCCAGTGAGAAGTAGAAACTGCTCCCAATCCCACTGTTTTTTTTTTTTTTTTGCCTGCCCTTGATGATTCTATTTCTCTGTTTAAGTCAGGAAATATCTCTGAAACAATGACCCAATGGGTTGCCAGTTGTCTAGTGGAACTATAGATGTCACAAAGGAAGATAATAATACAAACTATAGTTAATTTAAATCTGAATTAATTTAAAACAAATGTATGCTTTGGAATGTGACCCCCTGGGACCCCATTCAAAGGTCCAGTGTGGTCTTATATTTAAAAAAGGGTTTCATCCCATCCCCAGACTGAATGTACCTGGAGAGTACAAGATTATGAAAGGAAGAATTGGATTCTTTTAGGACTTTAAAAATGCAGCAACCCTTGTAAGTACAAGAAGTTTGCATTTTTGTCTACCTCATAGCCATCCAAAGGAATAAGGAAAAGCAAAAGAGGACATCAGAAGATATCACTCAAGCAAATGTGTTGATTTGCGTATTTGCATGGGGATACACGTAAAAAATATGGTACCATTTCTGAAACAACATCTTTGTGCATGAATTGCTACTACAGATCACAAAATTCATTTGTCTCCACATCACATCTTCTTTCATTCTGAGGCAGCATTTGATGTTTGGCAGCTGACATGGTAGAACATCATGAAACTGAAATAAATGTCTGTCATCACTACTGGAAAAAAAATTAACAAATTGAGCAAAATATACTTTTTTCCTTCTTTACCTATTTTCCTTCCTTCCTCTGGTAGTCCTTCCTGTCGACTTTCCATTGCAAAGGTAGTAACATTTAGGAATGTACTGTATATGGTAATGTGCTTAATGGTATTCCACTGGAAACAGTACCTTATCTCTGCCATTTTGCATCTTTCTCTTAACAGTGGAGGTTTCTCACACCATTGCCTACTGTCAAATTCCTTTTTTCTGGTCCCCAAACTAAACCAAACAGGTCGATTTTGGCAGCTGCAATGCAGTCCTAGGCTGCATTAACAGAGGGATACAATCAAGATCATGTGAAGTGTTAATGTGACACTAATATAATGCCTTGGTAAAGCCATACTTGAAATATTGCATCCAGTTTTGGTTGCCGCAATGTACAAACAATGCCGAGACTCTAGAAAGAGCACAGAAGAGAGCAGCAAAGATGGTTAGGGGACTGAAGGCTAAAACATACAAAGAATGATTGCAGAAATTGGGTATGTCTAGTTTGATGAAAAGGACTAGAGGTGATATGATAGCAATGTTCCAATATTGAAGGGGCTACCACAAAGAAGAAGAGTCAACCTATTGTCCAAATCACTTGGAGGCAGAACAAGAAGCAATGTATAGAAACTAATCAAGGAGAGAACCAACCTAAAACTAAGGAGAAATTTCCTGACAGTTAGAGCAATTAATAAATGGAAGGACTTGCCTGAAGAAATTGTGGGTGCTCCAACTCTGGAGGTTTTAAAGAAGAGCCTGGACAACCATTTGCCTGAAATAGTATAGGGTTTCCTGCCAAAGCAGGGGAGTTGTAAAGTCCCTTCCAACTCGGTTATTCTGTTAATTAGAATAGAAACTTTATGCAAATGCAGAAGAAAATGCAAGCAAATTACTGGTTCATGGAAGTCATAATGTGGGGTGAATCACTGAGTTACAGTATTTACAGATCCATGTATAGAACAATGATCAAGACAGTGGATTTGTCATTTAGAAGAAAATGCTTTAGGAAATCTTTTTCTGCCCACCTCCCCTTTAATAATAAAAAAAAATCCAACCATTTATCATTCTTTGGCATTGTTGATCTCTTTCTTTAAATGATTGATTTACCACAGTGCTGTATGAAAACATCCATCTTTCTGTGGCACTTCCAGTAGTATTTATATCAAGTATTGCAGAATTATAGGTCCTCCTGGATTTTACTTGAAGCAATGGTTCAAGGCAAATTTGGAACACCTTAAATTGCTAAACGTTTTAAGCATTCTAAGAGATAATGGAAGGAGTTTTAATGCAAAAGTGTGAAATTTTCTTAAAGTAAATTTCATGCAACCCTATCTATTCATACAGAAAATATTTACCACAGTTCCTAGTTTATTTATAAAAAGCAACCTAAATATACACATCTATCTTTCTTATTTTCACAGTTATCTCTTTAAAAAAAAAAGCAAATGAAAGTTTTAAGTAGGAATATGCAGATTTTCAGAAATCCACTTTTTTTGTTATACATTTTGGCAGAACAGTTTTCATTCTCTCCTTTCCCCACCCCTTTCCCTCATGGATTTATTTATTTATTTTGTACATTCTGAAGACATATTTATAAAATTGGATGGGATGAAAGGAGGTTTTCATTCTGTTGTTTTAAAACGCTTATTATGGAAATAGTCTCATCTTTTTTTAAAAAAAACTGGTATAATTGAAGAGAGTTTGACTTTGAAAAATATCTCTTCTGGGATTTCCTGGAACCATTTGACTGACTAACTGACTGACTGATTGATTGATTGTCATTTATGGTACTAATTCCATGTCTTTATTGCAAGTCCATGTTTCTTCTTAGTCAGGACCTCTTCCCACTTTTAAAAATTATTCACATTCTGAAAAGAACTTAAATGGATGCATTTATGGAATATTTATTTATGAAATCATGTAAAAATAACAATATTAAACCGCTAGAAAAAAAAAATTTTTCATAAAAAATAAAAAATTGTTATAGTTTAACAAATAGAAGCTAATAATGAGAAGAGTAACATTGTTCTAAATGTTTGCAAGCATCTTCAATATCTGCCAAATGATTTTGATTTTTTGGGCAGACTCCTGAGGAAAATCTTAGGGTCCCTTAGAAATATTCAAACTATATTTTAAGAAACACAGTCTTAAAGTAATCAGTTGCCTTTCATGGACTGAATTTAAGTATCTAAATATTTTCACAGAGTAGAGCTGTACAGTAGAGCTGTACGGATGTTGTATGACATAAATAGTTTATTCCCCTAGTGTCAAGCGATACATCATACGGGGGGTGGGTGGGTATAAACATGGAAGCTCCTGTACAAACTGGTACTTGTTCTATGGGTGTAAAAGACTCACCCCTTGCAGGAGTACATACAGAAGCTACTTCTTCCAGACATTTATGCTGTGTTCATAAGTGCACCCTGGAGAGGAATAAATGACTGTTACTTTACTACAGTATTTTTTTTAAAAGAACACTTAAATATTCAGTATAGCTGTGCCAGCCTGACGGCTTTTGAACACATGTATCTGAGTTGAACTGAAGGATTGTCATTTATGCATCTACAGTAATTACTTTCTCACAAAGTATCTGATCTGTGAAAACTATCTGCTCCTTTGAACCATACCACTGGAGGAGCTGCGCTCAGAATGATTGGAAATGATAGCTCTTTGAAAGAGTCTTCAATATTTTACATTTAAAGAGGCACGGCAATAATTGAATTGAAATAGCAGTCTTTATTCTCGGAAAATACAAATCCTCGAAGAAACCCCTGATTTCCCATCCTCTCTTTAACACTGATCTGAAATGTTCCCAAGTAGGCCTAACTGTTGAATGCTTTATTTTGTAGGGTTTTCAAGGGAAAACAGGCCCACCAGGCCCCGGTGGTGTTGTTGGACCTCAGGTACAATGTTGCTGTTTAACTTGATTGAATGAATTTATAACCCACTTTCTCTCAGGAAGGTCAAGGTGTGGTGTACGCTGAGATCTCCCTGCAGTAGTAATCATCTGCCATAAGTTATGCTGAGAAAAATTATCATTATTATTTGTTCAGCACCATAGTAACTTTGAACAAATCGTTGTAGGTTAAGTTTTAGTTTTAGTTTTGTTGGAAACAAATGTCAAGTGAAGGTTGAGGTTTTCCTGAGAAAAAAAGCCAAAGGAATGTCAAACAAAAGCTTAGAAATTTTGATAAAATTATCTCTCTATTTATTTCAGAGGATTTCTTGCATTCTTGTTGTATAATCCAGGGAAAACATCTGGGAATTATTATTGGAATGAGCTGCTGTTTGTCCAAAATATGGCAATTAGAATTAGAATGAGCTCTAAAAGAACAAAGTGTTTAACTCTACTGTTATAACAACTCTATATTTCATTTCCAAGTACACCTCAAGGGCAGTTTATGATCTTCACAATCTATAAACAGATTGCCACCATCAGAATCTCTAAAATACAATATGAAATTGCCTGGTCTGAAAGAATACGGCCACATCTAGAATTGACATTGTAAGTTATTGAGGTCACGTAACATTGTCCTTAATTACCACACCGCTTAATGATGGAATTGCTACTCCTTATTATGGTTGATAAGTGATGACTACTGAGTTGTCCCCATGGTGATATCCACTGTGCATCTGCTGTGACCATGGTGAAGCCAAGCAGCTTTGCAGAGCCCTAATGAGGCATCTTAAATAAATATTTAAATTTTAATATATCAAAGGTGTTAATTCATTTCTGGTGTGAATTAACAGCAGTAAATATCTTTTTTCCTAGAAAACCTTAGGATTTAACTGGAAATACAAAACTTAGGTGGGAGAATTTTCGAGTCAGGAAGGGAAAAAAGAGTTGTTCTCTGCCAATCAAATTCAGATTAGATGGATTGGAAACAGTCTTATCAAATTTGAAGACTTAATCATTGTTATCCAGAATAATTTTGTATGGGGAATTCACAGCTTTACTTCATAGTAAGCCATCAAAGAACACGATATTCCTTTTCCAGATTCCAAAATTAGAACATCCAAGCATTTTGTAAATAAATGAGCTAATTTCAATGGAGCTTAAAATTAATAAATGAATAAACAAATGGGCACTCCAGTAATGTTAGTGAAAGTATTCCAGAATGGATGGGGTCTCCTCAAACTGAGCTTCTGAAAAATGAATAGTGGCAGGAGATTATTTGTATGTTGAATTTAGGATATTGTTAAGAATGAGAAACTTAGTTGTACCAACCATTTTATCCTTTAAAATAGCCTCCCCAGTTGGGTGTCGTCCAACTGTATTTGAACTATAACTTTTGGAACAGTCCTGGCTGGGTGTATCTAGATTTCTGGAAACTATTGTTCTAGCAACTCTGAAAGGCTCCAGGTTGGAAACACTGCTTTAGAAGCCAGACATTACCACATTTTTTTTCCTGATCCACTTTCATGACAGGAACAGTTTAAATACAGGAGAAACAGTGAAACACCATACAGCTTTGGGGTTTTTCCCCCCACAACACTTCATTGAAGTGAGACAGCAGGCATCTTACTAAGTGTAGATTTTATCTGAATCATCTTTTTGTTTTCCTTGCTTCTTTTATTGACCAAGCTTTGTTTAATTTGCAATGTGTGATCATGCTGTGTTTGTGTTTGTAAAGATAAATGAAGTCTCAGCTCAGCTGTATACCAATATCCCTGAATATCCCCTACATTCGTTTTCCATGTCAAGCTTTATATTCTTTTTGTGCTCTTTAAGCGTGATGCCTGCTGTCACCAGAAGTAATCTATGAACTGAATTCCACTACACACATCCATGTTTACAACAAATTTGGGGCATAAACATGGGTCATTGTTCATTGTTTTTAAAAAATCGACAACTGTATCATTGTTAGTCGATGTAGATGTTTCAGATGGCTGCTTAATGTTTAAATAACAGTAATTAAAATTCTTGCGGCAAAGCACTAGGTTCAATTTCCTTTGAATTTTCCTTTGAATGGTTTCCTTATACACACACACACAAAAAAAAATGACTGCTTAGTATGCTTTAGAAGAGGTCGTCCTCAGTTCTTATTTTTCTAACGCATACCTATGAGCAATGAGTTACATTTGGATTGTCTCCCAATATTTAGGAAATTTAGCTACAAGTGAGTGAGAGAAGTCAATCAGGTCATGGAAGATATCCATTTCTAACTCAAAATGAGTACACGAGTACTTAAGACTACGCTGCCTGCTTTCCCCAAGACAATTTAAACAGTATATTCGTGTGCACTAACTCACTTATATTCATAATTTGATTGGACATCTAATAATCTCAAATAAACATAGCCAGTATTCAGAGTTGATCGGAATTATACTCTTAACACCATCTGCACAAAGTTTCTGTTTTGCAACTAACGACAATATTCTATTTGCCAATTCCAGCATGCTGCACCCATGCTGGTTGCACAAAAAGACATATGTACCATGTTAGTGGGTTTTTTGGTGAATAGGAATAGTGTAGACTTGAGGGCTAAGTTAAGCAAGCAGATCTATCTATCTCCCTTCAGGGCTTCGCAGCTCAATAGTGTCATCCCTAAGAGAAGTTTTTTAAACTAACTAGTGAGCATAAGGTAGAGAAAGCTGACTATATTCAGGTAGCCCTCGACTTAACCACCAGAACTGAGCCCAACATTTATGTTGCTAAGTGGGACATTTATTTAAGTGAGTTTGGCCCCATTTAATTACCTTTCTTGCCACAGTGCTTATATGAATCACTGCAGTTGTTGAGTTGGTAACGCAGTTACTAAGTGAATCTGCTTTCTCCATTGACTGTGCTTGTTGTAAAAGTTGATCATATGACCCCGGGACACTGCAACTGTCATAAATACAAACCAGTTGCCAAGTGTCTTAATTTAGATCACATGACTACGGGGATGCTTCAATGGTTGTAAGTATGAAAAAAGGGTCAGTCACTTTTTTTCAGTGCTGTTGTAACTTCAAACGGTCACTAAACAAGCTGTTGTAAGTTGAGGACTGCCTGTATTTTTCCCTTTCCTAGTCTTTGTGTGCTAATCCTTTATACAGGTGGTCCTCGACTTACAACAGTTCATTTAGTGACCATGCAAAGTTATAACGGCACTGGGAAAAGTGACTTATGACCGTTTTTCACATTGACAACCTGTCAGGTGTAGCTCCATTTAAAATCCAAGAAAGAAAACCTTAGAATCCATGGTTATAGAGAAAATGACTTTTACTGAATTTGAAGTGGTAGCATCAGAAGAAATACAAGATCTGAGACGATAGGCCCAAAAATCACATATAGAAAGTTATCCCATGTTCCCACCCTCAGTAGTTCAAACTGGCCATCCAATCTGAGGTGTGTATAATGTCATGTGGGTGCATCTTCAAGTGGCATTTCACACATCTGGTATGCCAAGACAGTTGACCTTGGCCTAGAGAGATAAGAGGCTACATCTGCGCAGTAAGCAAGTAAGCATAATCCAGAAAGCATCCCAACTTTTACAATACACCAACTTCATCCTCCAGCACACTTCCCCCCACATTTCAGCCCAATTATTCTACACACACACACACACACACACACCGTTTCTATGGCAGCTGGAAAGAGAACAAGTAGAAGAAGGATCCTTGGAGGCTGACACAACCATTGCAGCATCCAAATGGTTATGCGATCAAAATTCAAGCACTTGGCAGCTGACTCATATTTATCACAGTTGCAATGTCCAACAATCATGTGGTCCCCTTTTGTGACAGTCTGACAGTCAAAGGAGAAGCTGGGTTCACTTAACAACCACGTTACTAACTTAACATCTGCAGTGATTTGCTTAAAAAAGTCGTAAAATGGGGCAAAACTCACTTAACAAGAGTCTTACTTAGCAACATAAATGTTGGGCTCAATTGAAGTTGTAAGTTGAGGACCAGCTACAGTATATGTCAAGCCATTTCTTATCCTTCTAGTGGAGGGAAAAGGTAATACCTTATCCTAGTACAATTTATATTGGAGGGATGTTAATTCTCAGACGATTCAACCACATTTGAACTTGGGAGTTCAATATTGGAATATGGGTTAATGAGTTAATTAAAAACATTTTATTTTAAAGTGACAAATAGCATATTGTACTATGGAATAATTAATGCCATGTTTTTGGATGTAGGGTCCAACTGGGGAGACAGGTCCAATTGGTGAAAGAGGTCACCCTGGACCTCCTGGGCCACCGGGTGAACAAGGACTTCCTGGTGCTGGAGGGAAAGAAGGCGCTAAGGTATATGTTCACTTTTCAGAAACACAGGGAAATGTATGCAGTGACTTATGGAATGCATTCGGTACTTGGCCATCAAGACCTTTGTCCGGGATTTGTAGCTGCATTCTTCCTTTACAATTTCTGCATTAAACAGTGAATTGAAATAAACAGCTCCCATAATCCTTTCCAACTTGGTGATCCTGTGCATTTCTTTTTTTTTTTTTCCAGTAGACAACTATAAAGATCATAGGGAGATTTGCTAAACAAATTGGATTGCTTTTTGGCACAAGTGAAGTATCGCTTGCCATAACATACAATCCTCTCTTAAATTTAACAAGATGGAAGGTCTACATTGTAAAAGTCTCAAACGTTCAAAGCAAGTAAGCATGTGAACTTTCACTGAGCAAAGATTTTGAACGGAAAGACTAGGTAATCATCTGGTTGCCATGTAATTAATTATGCTATAGTTTTCTCCAAACACTTTAAAGGGGAAGCTTAATGCTTTGGGTTTTGAGGTGCTGCATTTGAAAATACAAGATTCACCATGTTTTAATATAAACTAGAAGTATGACATAGCAGCTTCCCTGTAACTACCAATGTGATAAAAGTTAGTTCAAGTTAATGAAGTTTACTCAATAAAATCCATTCCTGATTCAGAAGCACATTTTAAAATATCATAAATTCTGTCCTGTATTGACATAATTCTTAGGATTTAAGTTTATTAGAGTTGCAATGTATGTGACGGTTCTTTGATGAACTGCCTGTTTTCGTTTTGAAATCTGGGCTTTCGCGGCCAACTTTCAGTAAAGACTATTCTATTTTCCTAGGGGGATCCAGGTCCTCAAGGCATTTCTGGGAAAGATGGGCCTGCAGGACTGCGGGGTTTCCCAGGAGAAAGAGGCCTGCCAGGAACTCAGGTAAAACTAGAAGGGCCCTAATGAGTTAATCACTGAAGAAGGGGAAGGAACATTGATGCCATGGTGACTAGATTGGGTGATATCTGGTTCTTAAGTGCATTGTCAAGGAAGGCCCCAAACTGATCGTCCCCATCTTGACCACTGCTATAAAACATTATCTGTTGAGCATTTGTAGGCTTCATTGGCTGTTAAGAGATTGTCAGGAGGTGGGCAATATAGATCATACATTAAGCTGAATATTAATAAAAGTAAAAGAATTGGCTGAAAAGAGATGTATTACTTTTTATTTTATTTTATTTTATTTTATTGTATTATCTCATTTTTTATTATTTTATTTTTTATTATTTTATCTTATCTTATTTTTTATTATTTTATTTTATTATTTTATTATCAGCCCATAATAGATTAATGGCAATAGAAAGAATTTTAAAAATATGTGTTGCAATGTCTTGTGTATATATATCATCCTCAACAACAACAACAATAATAATAATAAGCAACCCATGTATGAAACCCAGCATAGTTATCTCATTTGCTGTGTACACTGTCGGTTTTTGTGATGATGATGATGATGATAATAATAATAATAATAATAATAATAATAATAATAATAATAATAATAATTGACTTTGAATAGGGTGCACCAGGTCTGAAAGGCGGTGAAGGTCCTCAAGGCCCACCTGGTCCAATTGTGAGTAGGATTTGTCCACAGCTTATGTTGCAATGTCGTTTTTCATTAATTTCATTTCTCTCTCTCTCTCTCTCTCTCTCTCTCCAGATATATATAGATATATATAGATATTGATATATACACATAGCGTGTGTATATACACGCACCATTTCTTTTTATTTCTTTCATGCTGCTATGTGTGCCTGTACATGCTTGTAAAGATTATACAAATGGATAACGTGTGTCATTCATATTTGTCAATAGCAGTTTCCTAGTAATTACAGCAACTAACAAGTCCTTAAAAAAAGATGAAAATCTAAACTTAAACGTGTTGGCCTCTGTTAAACCTGCTGTTAGCTGCAGGGAGCAAATTGCTTTTCCTTGTTCATTAGATATTTCAAGGTAGAAAAAAAAGAGGGGGGGAGAATCTGCCTCTAGTGGGAGGAAATTGAAAAACATAAGGTCTATTAGACTGGTTGAGAATTCTCTCCTGCATTATTTTGTTTCCCCAATGTGTGCATATTAGGGCCAAATTACAAATTAGGTGATATGAATTGTCCTTTTTTTGTTCCAAAATTGGGGGGGGGGGGGGGGGACAGAAGCTGTACTGTCCTGATCCAGACTTACTGCACACTTCCAGAGTGTAGATCTGTGTAAATTCCAGTTGGAAATCCTACTTTCCTCCCTCCTGTAATTTCTACCCGCAAATGTTATTTACTACAAACTGCCTTTTGCTAGACAAATGGCATCTGGGAGGGGCAAACAGAGGTTTTCTTCTAGAATCAGTGCAAAGGTCCTATAAGGAATATGTTGCAGGGGAAGTATTTGCAGTTGCCTTTTCTTCTTGGCCAGCTTAGGCATCTTCCTTTTATTTAGAGCAGCATGTAATGTATCATTGAATTATATACTGAAATAAAGGAGAATATTTGTAGCTCAGGGTTGAAATGAGGGATCCTTGGAACTCTCTGAGTTTGCTTGTTTTCTTGCAGATGTTTCATTAACCTTACTAGGTAACATCCTCAGCAGTGGTGGGATTCAAATTTTTTTACTACTGGTTCTGTGGGCGTGGCTTGGTGGGCATGGGAGGGGAAGGATACTGTAAAATCTCCAGTCAGAGGTGGTATTTTTCGGTTCTCTGAACTACTCAAAATTTCCATTACCGGTTCTCCAGAACTGGTCAGAACCTGCTGAATACCACCTCTGATCCCCAGTGCTAATAACATCAACATCACTAGCACTGATTATGTTACCTAGAGAGCTCCAAAGATCTCTCACAAACAGAAATCTCTGAGAATAAATCTGTCTGTGGTGTTTTTAAGATGAAAATGAGATTATTTATGTGGAATTCTGAAGAGTTTAGGTCACATGACTGCTCCTTGGAGAATATTCCCATCCTGGCATTGTATGCAGAAAGAATAACACGATTGTCAGTGGTGTCCCCTGACATCCATGAGTTTTGCATTCTTTTTTTTTGTTTCGTTAGCACTGTAAGACTCTCTAACAAAAGTCAGATCCTTTCTGAGCTGCATTGCCAGGATTGGAACTCAAAGCGAATGCATTTTTTACAGGCAGTAGTGTTATTCCCAAATGTAAAATGATTTCCCGGATTAGCAGTTTCAATCACTGAAAAGAATCTTAATAATGTGCATGAGCTGATGCCTCCCAGCTTACAAGAACCTATTGTTAAATTTTCAGGAATTTTGCAGGCTCTTTGAGAAAACAAAACCTTGCAGGCTAATCAGCTGTTTGACAGCTGGCATTTATCGGCATACCACTATTATATCCATTATTTGTCAAAACAATGATTTTGTCTAGTCCTTCCATCACTGCTCTCTGTTATAAGATATGATACTGATGATTACCTTTTGCTTATTCAAAACCCAGTGTTTTAACATAGGTGACTTTGGTTCCAGAGGATAGATGTTTGGTATTAAAACCATTGTTTTATGTTAGAATGTTAGAATAGTTGTAGTGGGCAGAAACTGGCCCTAAACCAGTTTTAGGTGCCCCTAGGGCGTCACGTGACTCCTGAGAGCCAATAGTGAAAAAAAGAAAGAGGTTCTGTTAGGGATTTGAGGAGAAAGAATGTCGGGGTCCTTTGGTGAGAATGATGGTTGGAGTCTTGCAGGAGGGATGAGCTCAAGCAAGGTTGAAAATTGAGTTGCTTGGGAATTTCAGGGCGGGTGCATTTTATCTCTTTAACTATGTGTTGGGTGTGTAGAACCTTCTCTCTTTTTTGGCCCTTTTAATAGCAATAGTAATAGCACTTAGACTTATATACTGCTTCACAGTGCTTTACAGACCTCTCCAAGCAGTTTACAAAGTCAGCATATTGCCCCCAACAATATGAATCCTCATTTTACTGACGTTGGAATGATGGAAAGATGAGTCAACCGTGAGTCGGTGAGATTCAAACCACCAAACTGCAGGAAGCTGGCTGTCAGCAAAAGTAGCCTACGGTACTGCATTCTAACCACTGTGCCACCGCGGCTCCTTAATAATGTTGGAGTTGACCAGTTGCCTTCTAAACACTGGCCACAGATTGACTGAGATTAAAATTCTTCAAAAGGTTTTGTTCTCCCTTTCTGCAGTTAGCCAAACCCAGAGGTGGGTGAAGATTTCCCCTTCAAACTTTCCCGAGTTTCCCCAGCCAGCTAGGGTGGGAAAAAGAAACAAATTGTTAACAAAGGGGTGACGGCAGAAAAAGAACCAACTATTCCAGTTGCCATTCGTTCCTGCGTGGAGGATTAGCTCAGAAATGAAATATCTGAAGAGAAGGGCAGCTTAAATCCTGATGACACCTTTCCTTATTACGGCAATAGAAATTCCCTGGTTTCCATCTTTTTATGAATTTTTTAAACAAATAAAAGTAATAATGCAAAGCATGGCATTGTTTTAAATTTTTGAAAATATCTTTAAAATGTGGCACATAGTTTTGATTTTCCAGAAGCCTGTGAGGGGATCCCTTTAAAAAACATTGATATACACTATGCTTTTGTGATTCTCTATTAGGAGACTCTCAGAACTTCATTGAAGTGTGCAAAAGCAAGATCAGAGTATAAATCCCAAACCTTCCCCCCCCCCCCCCAAGTTTAGGATATCTTCTGCAGATTTTGAAACCTTAAACATATGCACATTTTCAACCAAAAACAGAATAGCTAACAAAACCTAAAAGCTAACCTCCATGGGCTAAGGCTGTAATTGCTATGAAATTTAATTCTCACTCTCTGGGAGTCCCAATCGAAACAAAGCAATATTAATATTTTATATGCTTTTGAATCATGCCAAGTTAATATTTAAAATTGGTCCCCATTCTTTGTTGTTTTGTTTCTGGTTTGATCTTTCTAAGCATGCAATCAGCTATGTCAAAGAAAACAAATCAGGAAACAAAATGTTATTTATTGTAAGTGTACTTAAAGAAAGTATTGCTTTATCAAGACTTCCTAAAATGAAAACCAGTATGGTATAGTTGTTAAGATATTAAACTGACATTGGGAGACCCAGGTTCATGTTCACCTTTAGCCACTGAAAGTGGCCTTGGACCTGTCATACTCACTGTCTGAATTGACAAGGTTTTTGATGTGAAGAAAAAGAGACAGAGATTATATTGCATAGGCCATCTTGAGCTCCTAAGACAACATGTGGGACATAAATCTAACAAATAAATAAATCTAGTACTCATAAAAATCCCAAAGGAAAAAGGAAAATCTCAAAATTGGCTTATCTGCAGATGGCACATTTTTTTGTGGTATTTTAATTAAAAATACAAGGATCTGCTTATCCACAGGTAGGCTTATATGTGAGTTCTAACTTTGGAAAATATTACCATATATTCTCCTAGGTAAGCTGATAAGCCAAACCCAATTTGGGGGCTGTAAAATTATTGACTTATTTGTAGTAAGTATAGTGGTAGGTAACTCCTATGAACGCAACATGGAGCACATTTCAGTAATTTAAGGTGCTATAGAGAAAACTTAGTTCCAGGTTTAAGGACAAATCCCTGACATATAGCAACTGCAGTGAACTTCTTCAGATGATCTTAATGATTTAACGAAGCAGGGGTGGTATGCTACTGATTCGAGCAGGTTCGGGCAGTAGCTCTGTGGATCAGCTGAGAGTGAACCAGTTCGGTTCACCGAACCGATAGGAAATTTTTTTGAAACCCACCACTGGAACAAAGAATCATTCAGAAATAATTGCTCTCTTGAGTACCGTGGACCCCAGCTATATACTGTAAGGCTTTAAATGTACTTCATATAAACGGGCAGCAAGAACAATGTTTTTAGCTGAAGTCTAAAGGGATCTTCTTAAGTTCTTTCAGCATCCAATTAGGTTGGAAAGTCCCAAACTAAGTGAAATTTCTAAAGTTGCCCTACAGGCAGTTGTTAAAACTGGAGGTTACCAGAATGTGCACCACAATTTTAAAGTCTTTTTCTTCAAAATGGGATGTGTTTGGTGCTTCTGAGTTGACAAGTTTGTAATTAAAAAGTATTCCTGGGTTTTCATATCTCACGGCAAATCAAAAACCGCTGAGCAGTCAAGAAGAATCAATAGATTCATACTTTCGTTTCTTACTCCAATCCTTCACCTCCATTCCCCAAGAAACCAACGTGAAACTTTTTACAATGGATGTAATTTTTTTTCTTCATCATATGCTATGGAACCTGACCAACCTCCCTACCTCCAAAACAGAAACCTCTTCACTTCATGAGGAGACCAGCTCCCTTGGGTGTTCTTTTAATCCCTGACTCCAAGATTTCCCTTTGAGACAACTGTTTTCAGCATTCTCTTCCCTTCATGTCTTCTAGCACCTCTTTAATTTCCCTTGATCTCTCTTTTTCAGCTCCAAGGCTTTTTAATCAGAAAGAACCAAACTCTCTTTGGTTTTGGTTGGATTAACTTCTCCCCTCTCCCTCCTAAGTTGCTAGAATTCTAAGGCGATTGCTGGCTTTTCATAGTGGCCATTACGTTGCCTTACACATATTCAGATATGCTTTATTAGGAAAGCAGATATTTTGAGTATTTCTCTGAGGGAGACAAGGGTAGAGAGTACAGGCTGTGTGGAGATTGAATTGGGGCTGTGGGAGTTTGCTTGTTTTTCTTACCTGCAGCAGATTCTAGAGCTAATGTGGGGGTGTTGCCCATTCATTACAGTAACTGGTTCTCAATGAATTCAGATGTCTATAAGGCCAAGTATTCATAATTTTAGCATATTCTTCGTAGAGGTAGGGTGGAATTCTTTTTAGTGGGCCTATATTCTAACAAACATTTTCAGAATTCTTCTATAGTTTTGAGATATGTGAGTGTCATCTTCTGCAGTAACAAAATCATGAGTGGCAGATGTAGCTGTCCCTGTGTAGGAAGTAGAAAGTTATACTAAGATATTCCAACCATTCACTGCCTGATAAATTCTAATAGAACTGCTTCTTGAATGATATGAAATCAATCACAGGATTCAGTGGTTTTTCATGTTCATTTTTCAGAAGTGTTTTTTTAAAGAAAATTATGTTGAAAAGGTACTGATTCTGATGGCCATATTTGTAGTGTTTGTCTTCGTTTAATTTTTTTTTTTACTATGTGATTTCATTTTGCTTTTGACTGTCAAGGTTTCCTAAAATGCAAAGCACTTACTGCCACAAATAAAAACCTTTGCAGAATTCCATGCCATGCCAATTATTCCAGTCTAGCAGGTTGTCAAGTTAGAAGTTTAGGAATGCCCTCGGGGAACTTTAGCAACCAAAAAAGACAGTGCTAAGATATAGGGTTCAAAAGTTTCATGATTTCAAGTAAGACAACTCCTTGTTCTAATGCCATAGAAGTCCCAAAATTTTAGGCACTTTGCAGGAATGAATGAATGAATGAATGAATGAATGAATGTTTCCATCAGTCCTAAAATAAACAGTTACTTCTTCTTTACATATAAGGGTTCTCCTGGTGAACGTGGCCCAGCAGGTACAGCAGGACCGATTGGTTTACCAGGACGTCCTGGACCCCAAGGTCCCCCAGGCCCTGCAGGAGAAAAGGGAGGCCCGGTAAGTGATTCTGGAGAGAGCACATGTTAGACTACAATATTACAAAACTTATTACTTTTCATATTTGCTAATGTTAATTCTTCACACTCCAGCACTTTTCTATTGCATATGTGCCAGGCATACTCCTTTTCTACGGTATTTACAACAGAGTTCTGCAAAAATTTAATTAAACTCTATGACAGTTTGGTACACTTTATCAGACCCTTAAAACCCAGGGAAAGAAGTTAAGCATAATTACGAACACAATAATGGCTATGTTTGGTTATGAAATATTTTGTTAAAATGTAGGTTTATTTTAAACTTTAGTGCCCTTTCTCATTTATTTTTTTCCCTTCCACATCGGATTTCATTAAAGTTATTCCTATTATGTATAGCTTGTAAGTGAAAATGTATATTGATAGATAAAAAGTCTCTTAGAATTCAATATATAGCAGGTGCTTCAGGTGAATCTTAAATTGCAAATTCAGTGTCACTATTGAGATAAATGAGGGCTTAATTGTAACTTAAAATTGTGCCATGCAAATTAAAAACTGCATACTTGTATTATCTTTCTTTATTGCTTACAGAAAATTCTAATATATCTTATAAGTAAAAAATATTAACTGGGGCTCATCAAGCATTGAAATGAAGGAAAATCAAACTACTTTATAGAACAGCTTAGGAAAAGTGGCAGTATGTTTAAAAATTATATAATTCTGGTGTAATACATGGGTGTAAAAAAATGACTATTTGACTGGTGCTAAAATATTACAGTAAAATCTACTTTTCTTATATAAATCTTACAACTTAAACAACTTATGAACTGTTTGAATCTCATTTATGAAGGAACTTCCAATTTTTCTGATACAAGTTTGTCCAAAAAAATCCCCTCAAATCAAATGACATTTTTGCTTCTGTCCATTTGTCAAAAATTCAGAAGGTACAAATATTATTATCATGGAGAAGATTACATTACACCTTTCTCTGAACTATTTAAAAGCCTAAAAGGCATAACTGTAAGTACACAAATATGGTTGAATTAGATCAAAACTCTCAAATTATCTTTACTCATATTATTGGTTTTCATTTCAAATACTGTTTTTACTTCATTCAATTTATGAATAAATTCATAAATGTTTGTAAATCTATTATTTTTATGAATTTATCAAATTTCTACACCACCCTCTCACCTAGGTGACTGTAGGTGGTTTACTAACAATATCATAAAATAATATAAAAAATGTGATTAAAGACAGAGTTAAAAACAAGGTTACAATTTGCAAGTAAAAAATAAAAAGTCATACTTAAGAAATTAACAAAATAAGGTGGTGGGAATACCCTTAATCCACCAGCCATCCCCAGGGTTAAATAATATTTTTAGACCCCGATGCAGAACCAGAAGGTCTTAATGCTCTTCTGGAAGATCCTAAGAATATGAGCTTGGTTCATTTCTGAGGGTAATATGTTCCTAAGGGCTAGGTGAATGGCAGAGAAGGATCTCTTTCTAGATCTCATCAGTCACAATTCTTTGATGAAATCCAAAGCATGCCTTCCCTGCCTGACTGGGTGGGACAGGTTGATGTAATTGGGAGAAATGATCATTCTTCACTATGAATTTCATACATATTTCATGTCAAGAGTTCCTTTAGTCCTATACCATTGGCTGAGAACTTTAGTCCTATGCCATTGGCTGAGAACTAGATAGCATAGTATTTTTTTTAAAAAGTGGTAGGATCATATGAGTCAGGACCACGAGGCTACTCTCTTGCAGATATTTAAATTCCGTACAATGAAAAATTGTAGGAGATTATATCAATAGCCCCATATCAGTGGAGGAAGAAAGCTTGGAATTCATAAGAGGTCAATAGAGCTCAAGTTAATGAGACGTTTACATGGCTTTATTTAGTACTCAATTGTTCACATTTAATTCAAGTACAATTCATTGTTTCTGAAATAAATGCCTCGTCTCTATTTCTATATATAAATGGATCCTGCCACAATACGTTGCAATGCTCCTGTTCAGTCTTCCAGGCATCTGTGCTTTATTCAGGGATCCGACTGGTATAACTACCAGTTCTGTTGCTCTGCATCGCACGTACATGCGTGCGAGTCGCGAGAGTGCAATTTATGACCTGCTGAGCTGCCCAGACAGCTGAGCAGTGCTGCGTGCAGGTGCGCAGCGTTTGGAAAAGCCCTTTTTTCCTGCTTTTTCACCTGCAGCTGTGTTTCACAAAGCAGCTGCAGTTGAAAAAGCAGGAAATAAAGGTCAGGTAAGAGCCCGGGAGGGCGGGTGGGCCAAAAGAGCAGCAGACATAGAACTGGTTCTATGTATATTCTCTGTCTGCTGCTCTTCAGAACTACCGGTTCTACAGAGGTGGACAGAACCGGTAGAATCCCACCCCTGGCTTTATTTTAGAATACTCCATTTCATGGCCTCTCCTTTCTTACTGACATTGAATTACCTGCTTCATTTGGGTAACATTAGTTAAAAAATATGAAAAAAAGGTATTCAGGATTTTTTTTGTTTGGCTAGGTTTTTTTTATTCTTTCATATATTTTCAATTTTATTTCTGTCTGTAATCTTTAGGAAGCCCTGTTATTTGTATACTTATTTCTATTTCCTGGTCTGTTATTTATAATGCACATATCATAAAGATGTATTGAAATTCTGAAATGCAGACAATGGTTACCAAGCGACTTAAACTCTTTTGCAGTATGACATCCTAATTTCTGTAATTCATATGTATGAGTTCTTATCCTGACTGAATGAACAAGGAGAGAAAATCTGAATAGTGTCACTGAATTTGCTAAAATAGATCCAGGGATAAAAGCTTGTGGAAGGCTTAAAGAACAAAGCTGAGGAAACCTGGAAACAGGTTTCTCATCACAACCAGTCAACAATTTTAAATTCTATTCTTTGCCGCTCACATATTCAACTAGGACAATTATAATCAATCAAGCAAATACAAGTACAGAATCTACAAAATACATCCAGGTTAGAATTTTTCCTACACACTCCCATTCTTCCTTTAAGTTATTTATTGTTAGCTTTTTTTTTTTTTTGGTTGTTTCCCTGTCTTAGAGAAACAGTCAGTAGCTGAAAAGGCAACAGGAATTTTCAGTAGTGCATCCTGTCTTTCAAATACTCCCTCTTGGATACTTTAACTCACAGTATTTTGGCACTTGGTTTACGTGCTTGTGTTTTGTAAATCTTTTAAAATAAGATTTCAGCTAGAGTGGTGCTAAATACATCCATGTGATTCCACCTTTCTTTGTGGAATGAATCTCCCTCTGAAATAGTAGAGAGATTCTTCATAGGGTTGGGTTTTTTAAAGCTCATTTTCAAGGAGTTGGCTTTACTCAAGCTTTGTAGGATTGAACAGAGAGTTATAGAACACTGTGCCACTGACAAAGGTTGAGGTTAGGGTTAACATACCCCATGTAATATGGTATGTAATATTCTTCAATATTTAAATGGAATCCCTATTGAAGCATCACTAAAACATTTTTTGTGATGTTTCTCTTTACAACACTAAATACATTATGATAATAAATAATAATAATTAATAATAATAACAACAATGCCTATTGTGCATTTCTCATCCATTCAAAAAACTGTCACTTTACCAGGTCCTAAAGATTACTACAAAGAGACCATTTATAGAATCATAGAATAACAGAGTTGGAAGGGACCTTAGATGTCTTCTAGCCTGACCCCCTGGTCAAGCAGAAGTCCCTATACCGTTTCAATGAAGGGGCTGTCCGGTCTCTTCTTAAAAGCCTCCAGAGATGAGGCACTCACGTCTTCTGAAGACAAGCTATTCCACTGGTTAATTGTTCTCAGAGTTGGGAAATTTCTTCTTAGTTCTAGGTTGCTTCTCTCCTTGGTTAGTTTCCATCCATTATTCTTATTATTTTGTCATTGATTTCTGAACACGTTTGTTTTACCTATTCCAAGGAGCATAGTACTATTCTCAACCAATCTTAAAGATATTTCACAATGGATTCAAAGGATTTTGGCATAAACCTGACCGGTAGAAATATCTGAAAATAAGTCAGCTTGACAAGGCTGCTGCTGACTGGTCTCCATTTGGAGCTTTGTTCACCAGATTCCTGTGACATTCAGAATATTAGCATGTTCCGCTGCTGTATTATTTCCTTTAACTCTGCATAATGAAATACAATTTTTCTTTTTTTTAAAAAAAAAATAGTGATTAAAAAAGCCTTGTTATTGATGTTATTTGCAAAGTCGTGTCTAACCCATCTCAGCCCCATGGACAATGTTCCTCCAGGCCTTCCTGTCCTCTACCATCTCCTGGAGCCCATTTAAGCTCACGCCTACTGCTTCAGTGACTCCATCCAGCCACCTCATTCTCTGTCGTCCTTTTCTTCTGTTGCCCCCAATCTTTCCCAGCATTAGGCTTTTCTCCAGTGATTCCTTCCTTCTCATTAGGTGGCTAAAGCAAAAAAAAAATGGTGAAATACAATATTTACAAATGAACAATAGAAGTACCAAAATAATACAATTAATGCTCGGCATAACTTTGATTAAAAATTAACCATTAAACTTATTGAATTATATGTAAGAATATTAAATGATTTTAACAATATAAGTGAGAATTTACAGTTCTGAGCTAAGAACTGAGATCTTATAAACCTTTCGTTTTTAGAACTACCAATTACTTATCACTAATAATATGAATGTTGGCTTGTTATTGGAAACAGGGTGAAAAAGGTCCTCAGGGACCAGCTGGACGTGATGGAATACAGGGGCCTGTGGGTCTTCCTGGCCCTGCAGGACCAGCCGGTTCTCCTGGAGAAGATGGCGACAAGGTCAGTTGATTATTGTTTTGTGTTTCTTTTGACGTTTACTACAACAACTTCTTTGAACTGGTGCCTTCTAAAAGTCTGACTGCACCAAAGCTAAGCATGGAGAGATGATGCATGGGAGAAGATAATTTAACCTTGGTTGCAAAGTATATTTCCTGACAGCTGTTCCCTTTCTCATGTATTTCTACCTTATTAATATTCTTTTCGGTTGTTTTGGAAAGACTAATAGCAAGTCCAGCTGGATAGTCCTTCCTATCAGCAACTTACATTAGCAGCTACTTCTTTATTCATTGGCAAACTTTCAGGAATAGCATTGCCTGTTACACAGATAAAAACTTAATTATATTACTATTCAGACATTATGTTCAGACCCCTTTCAATGGGGGGGTTGGCAGATACATGGCACTTTCCTCTGTTGTCACAACATCTTAGGGTTTCTGCGCAGTTTTAGAAGTTCAGTGAACGATCTATTTGTTCAGCTCCTGCTGCAGAGAAAATGTATTGAAAGCAAATTTGCAAACTTTCCACCAATATTGCAAGATAGGTGGTTTCTCACCAGCAAGGTCTCCTGGATTTGGGGATTTTCTTCTTCTTTACAATGTAAACCTTGCTCCTCCATCCACTCCACTATCTCCCCAAACCCCATGAATATATTGAGGAATGGATTTGCCATTTCTGCTACATGGAGGCCATATAGGCTTTTACAAAATGCATGTTTCTGGTGAAAAAATAGAAGTACAAAGCAAGAACAGAGAGCCAATTAGATAATATATTCTATGTCTTCCCATTGGTCAGCTAGACAGACAGAAAGCTGATTAATTTAAGGGATGGGAGCAATGTGAGGGATGGGAGCAAGCACCAGATAGTGGAGGTGAAAAGGTTGCTTATATTTGGGCAGGTTGGTGATGTTGGAGGTATGGGCCTTGAATTGGTAAAATAGGAGCTATATTTCTCATTTACCCATGTGTTTATCTTCTCAATGCGCTCCAAAATGGTGCACACTACTTTTTAGTGAACCATCCTTTCTGATTTAATACAAAATGGGGGAAATGTAGCTTCCAGGTTTGAAACAAACAAGCTAACTTCAAAGTACGGTTTATTGAATCTTGATATGCTTCAAAGCTGGTCATTTGAGATGAAATGGAAATCTATTTTTAATTACTAATATGTTCACTTATTCACAACTTAAAGAGGGGATTATGTGTATGCGGCAAGACTTTTTTCTATCTTGAGAGAGGAACATCTGAATGCAAACTTAATATTTTTATATGCTGTTTTTGATCATGAAAACCTTACACATAGAAGAAAGGACCTGTCCTTTGGTCAATCACAATTACAGTAACTTTATATTGAAGGAGACATGAGGGTAAAACAAAGGTAGCAGTTTCCTTATTATAAAATTGAGTTACAGTAAATTTCATTGCAAGAATGCTGCACTTTGAGCTTTAGTGGGCAATATGTCGCCAAATCTCTCATACCAAAATGTGATTGATCAACACAAAATTGCCCTCCTCAGGCTGCCACTCATAGGCAGAGAGAAGGTAGTTTGAAGGTAGTTCACTATTGACTACTGTTAACAAAGAAATGGGTCCTTTAAAGAGAGATGTAATACCTTTCTTTCGATTACAGGGTGAAATTGGAGAGCCTGGTCAAAAAGGAAGTAAAGGTGACAAGGGAGAAAATGTAAGTCTTTTCTAATTCCACCCCCCACCTCCAGCTACTGCCTTTACTATATTGCTTTTTTATTGCCTGGCAATAAGGAAATGCATGAAAAAATGTATCAAAAACCAGCATTCTCAACAAGCAGGAAAAATGTCTATTTTTTTGCAGAAAGATTCACATTTCTAATTAATAAAATATAGAAGAGGCTTCATATTTCTTGATAATGCTTTTTGATTATTGTTATATATCTTCAATATGGTCCAACTTCCATCTTCTCAGCATTGTCCATGACAGATCAAAGCTACTTTTTCTCATTTGGGGTTGCACATCTTCCTAAGCTTGGAAAAACCCCAAGGAAAGTATCTACAGGGTTACCACTATTCCAAGAGATCTTTATAGTTGATCAGATTCTCAAATAAAGTTAGTTCTTTTCCCTGCTGTTGAAGTAACAATAATTGCTGGACTTTCTGAACTTTGGAGTTATGGAGATGGAGCTCTTCCCCAGATTATCCTTGCAATTTATCCTATTATAGCAAGAAATAGGATGCTGCTTGTCACACTCATAAATACTATATGTGACACTCTACTTGCCAGGAGAAAAGGATTCCACTAAATTTACTTCCAATTCTTAGCTTGACTTACTTTGTTTTAGACATTTAACAGATTGTGAAAACTTTTGTTTATTTTTGAAGGACATTTTGATTGCCATAGCTAATTACTGTTATTTATACATGAGGCTTATTTTTTCTCTTTATCATTTGTTTTTTTAATAATAATTTTATCTGTTGTCACTGCATTTCACGTTGTTCTCTATAGTGCAGAATGTTAAAATATTAGGTGACAGCATACCTTATTATGTTTTTAATTTTGTCAGTCACCTTGGGCATCTTGGTGACATAGTTGTTGAAATAGTAAGTAGTGGATTTAAAATATTTTCTTACAATTTATTTGTTATTAAAATGACAACGTTTAATCTTCCTGCCTTGCTTTTCTCTTTTCCATATGTGTTTATTATATACATTACGGTGTTAATATAGAAAAAGAAATTTATGTATTTTCCATATTTGGAAAATATGTATCAATGCACAAACTTTGGATGTTTTTAGTCAGATATCTAACATGAATCATTTTCATTTTCAGGAATTGTTACTAAATTATTGTTATTTTAATTGTCATTGCTCAATAAACATCATGTAAATATGAGCACATTTTAATATGATCGTAAGATACTCAGATGCATTTAAATTTAAATCTTTAGTTTTACCTTTTTTAAAAAACAAGTTAACATGAAGTACTATTTTCAAGAAATATATGTCATACAATAAAATCTTATTTTAAATAAATATAATATTATTCAGGCTTATTTACTGCATAGTAATATATTATTCTCATTTAAAATTCCATTTTATTTATTTATCCAAGCTTGATCAAGTACTAGTGATAATGCCCTTTACCCTATAACAATATGAAGAAGTTTAATTTAATTTCTGGTCCAATATTTCAAAGGTTGGGTGAAGATGTCATCATTCCCTTTCTGTCAGTCTACATTATGGACCATATGGAAAGGGAGATCTTTGTTGAAAGACTAGTTCTTTTCAGTTCCTTGCCTTCCTTTCATTCCAGCTGGTTTGCATTAACTCTTCATGCTGAACTTTAGCTGTTGAATTTGCTTTCCTTTTTCCTTTTTCCTTCTTCTTGTGTAATTTATTTGATACTTTAAATCTGAGAAGAAGAAGATTGTGCTTGCTGTCTGCAAACATCTCTGCCCTTTCAGCTGAGGACAAAGATAGGAAGGGTGCAGATGAATGAGTAAATTAAAAAGCTAGAATACTAAAGCCTGTTTATTAAAAAAGCAAGACAGATGCATTGAGAAGATGTAAAAAAGAAAAAAAAAACCAAAACCCAACCCCAGAACATTGGTCTGCTTCAATGAATGTAATAAACGTTAAGCTCCATCTCTTCAAAGAAATATGATAATGCATGTTATATTTGAATAATGCAAGAAAGCCATCCTGTAGATCCTCTATTTATCTCATTTTAGATGCTAGCATTACCCTCTTTTTGATTTCTTCCAGGGACCTTCAGGACCACCCGGTCTTCAGGGTCCCATTGGTGCTCCTGGAATAGCAGTAAGTTTCCTGTTTGTTACAAATTGCAAATGAATTCTTCAGAACTTTTTGTATTTATAAAAAAAATCTCACTGTTCTTTGAAAAACTTTAGAAATGATTTACACAGCCTAAAACCTGGGATTCAAACAAACAAACATCTTCCAGGACTCTATGACTGCATACCTGCAAGGTTAATGTAAGCTTCAGGGTTCTGTCAATGCCATTCTGCTTCCTTTGTTCATTAGTATGACAATGCAAAAGCAAAACACGTTTTTTTTGGCAAAGGTTCTTCGTTGAACACAAAAGCTTTACATATTGTACAGGTGTTTCATATACTGTACATATCCCACTGCTTAATTTTGCATTCATTTAAAAATCTGTCTTTGTGAATCAGCCACATGTCTATTATGGATAGCATCCCTTAGGACTTTTCCAGGGTATTATCTAATCAAGGAAATTCTGTAATGATTTCAGATAACTGTGAAAGACAGCACCATTATCCGTGTATTTAGCATTTTTCCCCCTAAGCATGACAAACTGCTCTTGGCTAATAAATGGTACTTTTGATATTTCTGTGACACGCATCTGAACCCCTTCACTATTTACTCTTTTAGAATGCTTATTTCCCATGGTTGAATTTATGGAATCATTTGCAAGAAATTAAGTAAAGAGAGCAATCTTGGATATGGTTAAGCTGCCTCAGCGCAACTGAAGTCAATGAAATGTTTTCATAGCTCACAGAGTTAGGTTCAGAATCTCCCCCATTTTCTAGACCTGTCCTTTTTACACAACTAATGGAGCTGAAATTGTTGGGTCATACATTACATTTTGAGTCAGTTATACCTATTTCAATTTACAGGGAGGTGATGGGGAGCCTGGTCCAAGAGGACAACAAGGAATGTTCGGACAGAAAGGCGATGAAGGTCCACGAGGCTTTCCTGGTCCTCCAGGACCTATTGGCCTTCAGGTATATTTTATTGTATTATCCTTCCTGCACATATTAATCTTTTTTTTTTCATCTATTGTAAAGTGAGCATATGTAAAAAATAAAGGCTACCTTTACATAATAAACAATACAGAGTGCTGAGAGTGACAACAAATAAATAGCAATAGTACTTAGACTTATATACTGCTTCACAGTGCTTTACAGCCCTCTCTAAGTGGTTTACAGAGTCAACCTATTGCCCCCAACAATCTGGCTCCTCATTTTACCCACCTCGGAAGCATGGAAGGCTGAGTCAACCTTGAGACTTGAACTGCCAAATTGCAGTCAGCCGGCAGTCAGCAGAAGAAGCATTCAGTACTGCATTCAAACCACAGCGCCACCAGGGCTCATCCTTAAACCCTTAAATCATCATTCTAAATCACTTTGTAAAATTGTTAGAATTGTAGATGAAGCACTAAAGCAGTGAGATGCCTAACTCAGTTCTTTAAAGGTTTGGATCATAATTATCCTCTGCTACAAAGATTATAACAGACGTGGAAGTATAGGTAAGCCATCCCAAAACACTGGATCTCTCATCAGAATGTCTACAAAAAAATAGGAGACAAAAGCAATCCTCATCATTCAAGGGCTTTCCCAGGATTTTTTTTCTGCAGGCACAGCTGTTTCATTTCAAAGCTCCAGAAGGGAATTAATGAGTCAATCTGCTGCCTACTTTACAAAGTAAAATACATTCCAGTGTAAAATTGATTCAGTTCAGTGCAACATCTGGAACACTTTTCCATTTAAGAATAAGTATTAAAATGTTTTGGATAAGGAAAGGAAACATGTTTTAAAACATTAAATATTTTTTTAAAAAATGCAACAATTTAAAAGTTGCATACTAATGAAATTGCTATTTTAGTAAAATGACTGATGAATTTAGCATTTTTAGCTGCTCCACAATGGAAATACAGTGCAAATTTTGTCTGCATATGTAAGTTATAAAACTTACAATGTTGTATACATTGTAAGTTTAATTTAGTAGTGATTGTGTGCAAGGTAACTACTCATTAATCTGAGTTTTAAACAAATGCTGAAAATGTTTCTTTCAATCTCATTTTCCTTTGGAATAATTTGTGGACCAGTGTTCACAAATGTGCTAATAAAGGGCCACCGAGCACTCAAGAGTTTGTGCAGAATGCATAGTAACAAAAAAAATCATGTACAACATACAGTACCGTTCTTTTTGTTATGAGGAATATTCCTTGATGTCAAATATTACTCTATATATCCAAATTATCATCACATTGTATGATACATTTGCAATCATACATACTAGAAAAGGTTTCAGTGATACAAATCATTATTTTAAACGTTACCATTTAATAGCAGAGGGTTTTTTTCCAATCTCAGTAGTAAGCCTGTGATAAATACTGCAACTGATTATGTGTTAAGCTTTTTATAAATAGGTTGCTGTTTTAAAGTCTTTTCCTGGAATATCTGAACCTTGTTAGCTGTTCATCTGATAAAATGTGATGTCCCTCTTTCTATATGTTTTATTGTGCAATTTCTTAGTCTAAAAATAATAAGAAAACTCAACAGGACCTTCAGCAAAACTTCCTACCATACATATAGGGATGTACAAGCTTCTTACATCTAAAGCATTTTATAGTTGTAAAAGCTGATATAAGAACAACTGATCAGTTGAATTAAAGTTTCTAAGGTGTGCAATGAAACCATTATTCCCAGAGCACATTATAAAAGGCCATAGAGGTTACCTAAAAACAAAAATAAAATAATTGAAATATTTATGCAGTATTCTTAATTAACTCTCCAAGGGGGTAAAACCTCTTACAGAAAGAAAATAAAAATGAACAACAATAATAAATTGAAGTGATATAAAGAAAAGGTAAATTTTAAAAAGTACATGCCAGCGTCAAATTCTTCAGAACATAAATTAGAAGAGAGGTTTTGACAGTGGGGATATTTAAGTGTGAGCATATCAAGACTGTGCTTGAGAACAAATCTGAAAATAATTAACATACTTAACCTTAGACACTTCTATTCTCCCATAATTGTAATGGTACTATTGACAGACTGAAAAATTAAACTTTCATATTAATTGAGGATCTAAGTTTGAGATACGATAGACAGGTTTATGGCTCAATAAAACTTAATAACAAACTGCTAGATTAGTTGTTAGTGTGTGTCATGTTAGCAAATAGTAATTGATGTGATTCTAGTGTCTTCAATACGAAGCTCTTTACTTTTTCTTCAGTCACATCTGCAAGCAAGTAATTTGTAGGCAATGATTCATTCAAAGCATTGTGACCACAATTGTCCTAATTCTTAGGACATCTGTGTAACTTTTCGCTCCTGAGATACTGATGTCTAAAAATGCAATGTACACACATCTCAAGGGGTGGGATTCAAAATTTTTAACAACCGGTTCTGTGGGCATGGCTTAGATGGTGGACGTGGCTTGGTGGACATGGCTTGGTGGTCATGTTATTGGCTGGGTGTGGCCAACTCAATATCACTCACATCGAGGCACGCATCTCCTCCCCTGGCCTCTCATGACTGTGGGGATACTGCAACAGTTGTAAGTGTGAAAAATGGTCATAAGTCACTTTTTTCAGTGCCATTGTAACTTTAAATGGTCACTCCACACAAGCAAAGTACCAGCAAAGAAGGGGAATAAAACTCCAGAGACGTAGCTGAGACAGGAAGTCTAGTCCTACCAAGAATGTAATAAGGGTTAATGGAGAGGCAGGTTCTGTGAACAACACCAGAATGTTTCCTTCCTGCCTTCTTTACAGGATTAGGCCAGTACTTTCTTCTAACAACTGGTTAACAACCGAACTGCTTAGAATGTTAACAACCAGTTCTAGCAAATAGGTGCGAACTGGTAGAATCCCACCCCTGCACATCTCCCAGCTTCCCCCTCCCTCAGAAATATCTATACGTGGAGGACTTATATTTGCGATGTATGGGTACAACATATATTATGCTTCGTGGTCCAGTTTTCTGTTGATTATTTTATTAGAAATCTGCTACAATTTCAACTTAAAACTTAAGAGCAGAAACCTGTCCAATATCCTAGTGAGCCAGGACTTTCCTATTTTCCATTGTAAGCATATTCAGTTCAAGCCCAATTTGTCTTTTCAATAGGAAAAGGGATTAGATTCTATTGACTTTAGCACTTGAGCTTAATGTGAACAATTTGAACCTGATTCTTGAAGTATCACTCTGAAAAACATCCCATTATAAAGCTCTGTTACAAGCATTTAGTGCACATTGAGAGACTGTTCGGATAAGACTACAGCAATAAATCTTGCAGTCAATGGAAAAGAAAGGCAGCTTCTGTTCATATAATCTGAAGTTCTGAACGAATTCAAGAGCAACATAGCTCATGAATGTCAGAATTCAGTGCTATGCACCCAGTGATCAACATCTGTTTACTGTGTCTTTAAATAATTCATAACACCTGCCATTAAATTATCTTTAGATACTGGTAATAAGCTTTTATTGATTCTACAATTCTTCATTATTCACAATTGATTAATATATTTCATTATGCATATTACCATTTCTTATAGTTTCTTTTTTTTAAATGCTGCAAAGTCTATTCAACTTCTAAATAATTGGAATGAGCTGGACAAATGATACAATAGGAAAAAAGTTTGTCTCATATATATTAGATTAAAAATGGTCTATAAAAAGCCATTGTTATATAACCTCTTCTTCTTGCATATTTAGTAAGAGTGGGAACAACTTGAATTTGCCTTACCTGTTAATACTAATCAACATAATTTGCAGGTTCTTACCAAAAGCAATTATCCTTCTGTTTCTATACTTCTCCCACTTATTTTCAGTGCTGTTCTTCAATTTTTGAAAAATATACTTATATTTTGGGGAAATGCTTGCAAAAAACATTAAGAGAATCATGCCAGAATTTCTTTGTGGTTGAAGGCAATACTAAATTAAATGTAGAAACAAGGTAGAATAAATTTATATTTTAAAAATTTTGAACATTTTATAGAAAGCAAAAGAGAGAATTCCTTGATCATTAATAATGTTACTGAAAGCTATAATTATCATATTTAAAAGATGAATGTTTTATTGCTTGATGTAAAAAGACTTTGTATGTGTAGAAGGCTAAGGGCATTATTTTAGAAATGAAAAAAATATATAGACAGCATGTCACATATAACTTGAGCCATTAAGGTGAGTTTTTTTGCATAAGAGATCTCTTAAATATTAGATCCAACAAAAGTTTGACAGTATTGAAATCAGAATATATGATAGCTATATAAGTGCTTTGGCAGATTTTAAAGTCAAAATGTAAAATTATGATTTATGATGTGGGCATCTGGATTGAGTACACTATTTCCATTTTCTGAAAGGTATTTATTTTGCTCTCAAATACAAGTAGGTAGCCAGCTTGGTGTAGTGGTTAAGGCGCTGGCCTAGATACCAGGAGACTGTGGGTTCTAATCCTGTCTTAGTCATGAAAATTGTCTGGGTGATAGCTAGGAAGGTGACTTTGGGCAATCACTTTCTCTTAGTTCAACCCACCTCACAGGGCTGCTGTAGGAAACAAGTGGAGGAGTAAGGAGCATTATGAGTGTTCACCACCTTTAGTTACTTATCAAGTAATAAAGGTTGGATAAAAATCGTATGGGATAAGCATCAGGATAGATGCATTTTTCAATAGTTGTACTTCACTTAAGAAACTTCTTGCCAGTCTACCATACAATTCAGTGCCAGGAAAAACATTTGAGCCTTCCAAATAATGTTTCTTTTATCATGGAGATCATCTTTAAACAACTGTGCTTGAATTGCTTTTTAGAATAATATTGTCTTGTGTTTTATATTTTAACTTGTGGCATTTGTTGGTGAGTTCTTCAGGAGCCATTCTCATGAATCGGCTGTGCAAATTCAGTTAATAAAATGAGTAAAATGAGATTCAAAATGCAACGCATCTACACTACAACAAGAAAACAAGATGGAGGCCTCATTCTCTGTATGATTTCATGCGCTCACTTTAGAACTTTGGAAGTAAAAAACGCTAAAGAAATCTAGATTTCTCAAATGTTAGGTTAGAAAATGTTTCAAATAACAAATAACATGCCGTTATTTTTACTATTCTATAATTAATGCTATGCATTTCTATTGCTGTTTCTTATCACTAGGGTCTTCCTGGGCCCCCAGGTGAAAAGGGTGAAAATGGCGATGTTGGTCCAATGGTAAGACGTTGTTCTTTCTCCTCTAAACCTGCCCATAAAGTTGATTCACCAAAGGTGGTTCAAAATAAGGAGCGAGCTAAACTTACTTTTCCCATTTCCTCTTCCTCTTTGGATCAGACTTATAATTTCATAATTTTGTTTGTGTTTTCTCTCTTGCAGGGCCCTCCAGGTCCCCCTGGCCCTAGAGGCCCTCAAGGTCCAAGCGGATCAGATGTAAGAAATACATGAACATTTGATGATATACATGAATGTGGTTTAAGGCATAATTTACACATGACTCACCTTAAATACTCTTCTCATCCAAGGGTCCTCAAGGTCCATCAGGTTCAGCTGGCTCTGTTGGAGCAGTTGGTCAGAAGGTAAGAAAATACAGTGAATGTTTTTAATCATTTTGTGCCTTATGGAATAGGAAACACACATCATCCCTCTGATTTTCTGCTAAGAGATTGGACTGTAGTGTCCATAAATCCCTCTCAACAAAAATACATTATCCTGAATATCTACTTTTGAACTCAGTGATGGTTACACTTTAGGGCAGGAGTAGTCAACCTTTTTATACCTACCGCCCACTTTTGTATCTCTGTTAGTAGTAAAATTTTCTCTAACCGCCCACCGGTTCCACAGTAATGGTGATTTATAAAGTAGGGGACAAAACCACTACCGCCCACCATGAAAGCTGGAATGCCCACTAGTGGGCGGTAGGGACCAGGTTGACTACCACTGCTTTAGGGCATATGTATAAAATTGCATCTAATCAATATCTTGTTCCATAAGTGTCCATAGACTGGGGTTTGATTTGCTATGTGCATTAGATGTTTGTAACAAAATATATTATTATTATTGCACAGATGTTTAGGTTGGGTTCAACATTTTGTTGAACCAACAGATGTTTTGTTGAATCGGACAGATGTTTGGGTTGGATTCAACATTTTTGTCCACCTTGGAGACCTTTTGAAGGACCTGGCTTAGGCAGATATTGTTTGTTTCATGAAGTTAGAGGTATCATAGCTGGATGTAGGTTATTGCAATTGACTGGTGGTGATTTTGTCAATCCTAATGGTATTCAAGTTGTGCTCCAGATGTTTTAGAGTTGCACCCAAGGCACCCATTTCTGTTGGTAGTATCTTTGCTTTCTTTTCCATAGTCGTTCTACTCCAATTTGTAGATCTTGGCATTTTGTGATTTTTTTTCCAGTTGTTTCTCTTCTATTCTGGGAACTGCCCTCTTCATTATCTAGACTTCTTTTGTCTTTCTTATTGATAATTGTTAAATCTGGCTTGTTATGTGGCAGGTGCCATATTATTATTACTGCCTTTTTATACATAAAATCCCAAGGCAGTACGGTAGGTGCAGCAGTGTCAAAACCATAGTTAACCTTTGTTGAATTATTATTTAAATTTTATTGTAATCTTGATGGGGATGTAAAGAATTGGGGGGGGGGTATGAAAAATTGTTTCATTATAAAAACAAATTGAATATACTATTTTGGGTGGAGTTGCCATTGTCAGAATACATTTGAAGATAGTGCTATTAACTAGTAAACTGTACCAGCAGATATAATCTAATCTAAAACATGTCTAAAAATTGAATTTGTCAAATTTAGAATCTATCAAAAAATAGGTTTGAAACTTTCTTTCCTGTCTTTTTTCACTGTAAATTACCTCCTTTCCCAAATCTTTTAAAGTGTAACTTGGTTTTCTTTGTTTTAAAAAAGAAAATATGGTAATGCTTACATCATGATTCCTTTTATTTGTATTTTAAACATTTGTACTCAAGAATTGGGACCTTGGAAATTGAAATTGTAGATTTTAAGTTTATAGAATCTAAGAGAAATCGTTCTGTATCTACCTCTATGTATTCAGAGGGACTGACCACATCAACCCCCATGATCCTGGCATTATGGAGGTGAATTTGGATTATAATTGCTAAGTTCCTGGCCATATGGCTTTTAAAAGTTGGTTAAGAATATTGAGACTTATAGAATCAACATATCCACAGGATGTCAAGTTGGAAAGAATACTTTATCTATATATATAAAAGTGAAATACCACTCATGCATCATCAAAAAAAAAAAATCTCCAAAAGCCTCAATCTCATAAAGCCTACAAACCTGAAATTTGGCACATATGTTCCTCTTGGCTTCTAGGTGCCCACTAAGAAAGGGTTTTTCAAAATGACCATCAGAGCATTAGTATTTTGTATATTATTAACACACTCTGATGCTAAGGACTTCTACTCCGTCTCCCCACCTGAAAAGAAATCTCTTCCAAATGCAAAACATAAGCAGAAGAGAGGAGTTTCAGTTCTAGTTTCACAGCAGAAACCAGCCTTAGTACAGAATAGTTGAGCCAAGCCATGCCTTGGCTCCTTGCTGTCTCCTTCTTGCTCACACAGCAAATACTGCTTCAGTTTTAAAACAGCCCTCAACTCTCTCACGCACTGACAGGACATTAGCCAGATGAATATCAATGGACGCTGGTAGGCAGAGGCATATTTTTTTCTCCTTACTTTCCTCCCCAAAAAGTAAGCCCTATCACATAGTTTCATAGCAAAGCAGGGGTATAGAGCTAGTAATGAAATATGGACTAAAATTTTGTATTATAGAAGCATTACAGTACAGGCAATCTTTGACTAATGGCCACAATTGGGAGTGGAACTTCCATTGCTAAATGTTGCCATTATTAAGTAAGATACACCACCTTATACATTTTATTTTGCTGCAGTTGTAAGCTAATGTGGCTTTCCCATTGACTTTCCTTATCAAAAACCCACTGGGAAGGTCACAAGTGATTTTGTGATCCTCCAGGACACTGCAGCCATCATAAATGCATGCCAGTTGCAAATATTGATCATGTGACCGTGAGGATGTGTAAATAATTCTAAGTGCAAGGGCCAGTTGAAAGTCACTTTTTTCAGTGCCATTGTAAATTCAAATTGTTGTATATGAAATATTGATATATAGATATTTCTAATTTCTAGCTTCACACCTAATGTTACATGACTGTGTACATGACTGAAAATAACATGATATACTTCTAGAGTAATAACTAATATCTTACAATGAAATCATTTTTTCCTCTCTTTTAAACTCATCAATGAGATTTCCAATAAATCTTTGTGAAGATTTCCAAACTGTCTTTGTCTTCTGTGTTGAAGTCCTTGATCTTTCCTTTCTTTTCAAGTCTGAAATTTGGCATCAAATAAATTCTTCCTGTATTCTTTTTGAAGGACTAACTTTTTATCGTCCAGTTTAGATCTTTCATTGTGCAATAACATTGACCAAAGGTGCAGATCATATAAGTAAGGGATCAGTATTTAATCATTGCCAGAAATGGTGACAAAAGGCTCCAGGCCTTTTCTTCCATGTTCAAAAGAACACGGAAGAAGGACCAGCTATTTAATCTGGGTGCCATCGTTCCTCATTTTTCAGAAGTCTATAGAATAAGTAAGTAAAGATTTTACCTTTCCCGTTTCAATCTATTTTTAATGCTCTGTTGCTCTAATGTTGACATCCATTGCAAGATATTGATTCTACAACCCTCATCACTTTATCTTCCTTTTCCTAGATACCCGTCAAACAAAATGTCTTTCTTGTTAGCATTGTGTCAAAGGAAATGGACGTATACAAAGTATCCTCTTTATATTTGAATCAGCCTTTCTAGTTTTAGAAGCTATATAAATATTGGGTGGTGGATACCCAAGCTACTACAAAATTCAAGGTTTGAACTTGTTCAACATCCAGGAATATTCCTCTCACCATAAAATCTTACAGCAATTTTCAATTTCTTTGTCTCCTTCCATTCTGCTATTGTAGAAATATCTCTTGTTTTACAGTAAAGCTTCTCTCATGCTATATATTCATCATCCAAGAGGTTACAATTCATGGTCCAATGTAAACAGAAAAAAATTTTTGGGGGGTATTCTCGCTGCCAAATGCAAAGCAACACTTGATCACATTTTAAAAATGACACAAGAAGGTGCAATCATCATCAATGGGTCCTGTGCAGAGCACATTGGGCAGCAAAAGTTTTCCAGTGGTTTCTATCAGTTGCAGCATCCTCTGCATCATCCCAAGGACATTAATAAACTTAAGATCTTCCTTAAGTGTTTGGTGCCAAGTTTTCTGAAACTGGCTTCATTTTATCTTTCCCCCTAAAGTTCCAAAGATGTTTTTTCAAGAAGTAGTTGGACTTTTTGGTTTTTCTTTGAAGATGTTTTGCTTCTCATCATCATTCTCTGAGAGCTGAAGAAGCTTCTTGGATGAGAAGCAAAACGTCTTCAAAGAAAAAGAAGAAAATCCAGTTGCCTCTTTAAAAAGCACCTTTGGGACAACCATGACCTAAATGACTGAGAATCTCCATAGATATTCCTCCTTAAAGTATCCAACATAGAGTAATTTTTGGATGCCGAACTTTAAACAGATGTAAGATATGGCCAACAAACCGCATTCGACATTCAATCATAGTTCTTGATAGATGTTCTAAATATGATATTTGCAGTACCTCTTCATTAGTGATGTGGCCCCAAAACAAGATGTGGAAGATTCTTCTCAAGTAGCATTGTTGGAAAACATTTAACCATTTAATCATCTTGATTGTATACTTCCATGTTTCACAAGCATATATTGCAGTTGGTATAAAAACAGTCTTGGAGAGTTTTATCTTTGTGGTAATCCTTATGGCTGCTGTAGACCATATTGGGCGCATGCGTTGAAAATGGTCACTGCCATTCCAATTCAGTGGTTTATGTCCTCCATTCGTAGGCATAATACTACTAAGATAAATAAATTGTTGGACTTGTTCTAATAGCCAGGCCACGGACTGTTATTGGCGTATTGTCCTGAGCAGGTCCGACTTGCATAAATTTGGTCATCTCAAAATTTATATGCAAGCCAATCTTGTTGTCCTCATTATCTAAACTTGCATTTATTGCAAGTTCCTCTTTGTTTCACCAAGCAATACGATGCCATCTGCACAGTCTAAATTTGTTAAATGAGTTGTTGTCCATGAGATGCCAAAACTGGGTCTATCTCTGAAAAACGAAGTCCATGTAGAGGAGAAACAAGAATGGTGATAGCATACATCCCTGTCTTACTCCTGTACTGATGTTAAAGAAGACTGTTTTGCCAGATTCCTCTTGTGCACAGCAGCTACATTTGTAATATAGGTTCTTAAAGATGTTGATAAAACGTTGAGAACTACCACAGGACTTTACAATATTCCATAAAGATTCTGATGGAAATTATAATTTCCACCTCTTTTTAAAAGTCATTCAAATCCAAAGGTTGTTTCTTTTCCCCTCTAGTTAATGCTATGCAGGTTTAACTAGACCGTTGTTTCCTTTTGCTATTCATGCAATCATAGAGGCCAAAGATAGCTGCTGCAAAACCACCGGGGGTCATGCTGAATCATTCATGCTGTCTGTCTTTCTCAGAGTAGGTTATACTTCTGAACAACCCATATTATGCATGCACATTAACCACTTAAAAACCAATCCGCCCTCCCCAAGTACATGCTTTAAAATATTGTGAAATGGACTGGAAGTTGACAGCGTGGATGCATTTGGTTCAAATATGATCTAATGGAGGTAGGCTTAGCGAGGGAAGCCTAGTTTTCTTAAAAGGTCCTTTTTCAGAAAAATGCCCAAGCTTTCTTTTTTTAAAAAAAAGTTATGCTTTGAATACGTTAATTAAAGTTTCTGTCTCTTGGCATCTTCAGTTAAAAGGAATTCCACAAGGAAGAATTTTTTTTAAAAAGGCTTCTGCCTGCTAATCAAAAGGGAGATAAGGCTTTATCTCTGAATGACCTGATTCTAATTATAACAGTTTTATATGTATGCAACGTAGAAATAATAAGTATGGGGTTCACAATTTAGATCCAAATGCTATTCTTGCACTCTTGTTATGCAACTAATTCCACTTTCATAGCCGGTCTGAGATGTAACTCTTCCACTAACCTTGTAAGACCTTGGCATTCCATTGTTTGTTTGGGATTTGTTTCTCTGTTTTGGGCTTTCCTAACCTCAAATTTCTCAGAGACCATTTAAAGTGATAAGGCAGAAGAATCTTGTATACTCTTTCTGATTTTGGAATAGGAAATTTAATATCATTTTCTTTTAACAACCCCTTAATTCCTTGCGGGGTGAAATCTGGCCAAGTGAATGGAGCTGAGTGTTTACTGGCCGGATACTCTTCCTGTCGCTAATGTGGAATTATATTCAGCAGATTTAGTCTCAACGTACCCAGAGAAAAATATTTGCCTCTACCAAGGATCGAACTCAAGTCTCCTGATTGTGAGGTGAGAGCTCCACCTCTTGGCCACCACACCATTCAATAGAAAAATCAGTATATCCTGTGATATTTGGGGTGCTATTCCAGGAAAATAAAACAACAGCCTTAGAATTCTTTCAATATATTCCATATTATAATTGACTGCCTATTCCACTATGTTCCATGACATTGGTCAATTCTATAAACCAGTGCCCTTGTGTGGGAAGGCAGAAGATACTGCAGACATTTCTATAGAATGATCTTCCATTAGCAGTATGCCAGATGCTGACATATATACTTTATATTAGAGTTTCTATGTATGATTGTCTTTCTCTAAAGAGAGTGAGATAGTTTGGTGTGGTGGTTAAGCCGTCAAGCTAGAAACCAGGAGACTACGAGTTCCCCTTTAAATATAAATCAGCAGATGTCATCTTGGGCCAGTCACTCTCCCTTAACCCTAGGAAGCAGACAATGGCAAAACACTTCTGAAATGTTGCCAAGAAAACTGCCCGGATTTGTCCAGGCAGTTGCCAGGAATCAAGATGGATTCAAAGGCATCCAGCTCTATGCAGGCTTATGTATATGGATGAGCAGCTATATTCAAAACATGTGAATAATAAATAAATAAATAAATAAATAATGGAATTATTCTGATTTTTATTCTGAAATTTAATTGAAACTGCAACTTTTACAAAAACAACTTTTACAACTTTTTTAAAAAGACAAGTATAAAAATAAATGATTGAATAGTAAACTTACTGGTATTAATAGACAGTTGTTCCTTAATGCTGTGGAACATAATGTAAACCAATAATTGAGCTGCCTAAACAGGCATGTATTGCAACATAAATATAATTTAATTAAATATCCATGACAGCAATGCAATAATGCTTCATTTCATAGCTCTATCTATCTATCTATCTATCTATCTATCTATCTATCTATCTATCT